CATGATTGTTTTGCAATTAATGACGGCACGCCACTGATTTACGATATAGCATTTTGATGGCTATCACAAATAGTTTCTGTAACTAAAATACCGGGATACAATATGAAGACGTCTGTTAAGTTACTCATATTGTTTGTTGTGATTTCTTGCCTACTTTCATAAAGAAAAATGCTGAATTCTTTCAATTACAAGTTCACCCCTGATCTAAATACTTTTTCACTGTTTAATCACTCGACTGGAATGAATCATAACTTAAAAATAGTGTTAAGATTTAAATAATTTATTCGCTTTTTAAATAATCAAAAGTTTTATGTTTAGTAATTTGAGCAATTTGAATTGATTGTATTTTTATTTCCGTGGTACTTCACTGTTAACGGAATACGAGTTGTAACTTTAATCCGAAGCGTGATATCATCCCAAGTGCAAGGGACTCGCTATTGCTCGCACCAAAGCGCACGACTACATGCAGAGCATGGAGAACAGGCAATATATTGATACATGTTAAAAACATCTTTTGGAGGCCAATACATTTCGTATCTTGCGAAGGGTCTCATGTACAGGAATGCTTCCTTTAAATTTTTGCTCTTATAGGGATCAATAATTCTGAGGGATGCGAAACCACACATTCAGAGCTTGGATCTTACCCGTTGCTGTACATATCGACTGGTGTCAATAAGAAAAATTATTTAGGCCAAAAGACATCATGAAAAAACATGTGTCTTATGATGTCCGTTTTTTGAAGACGTTTGACTGAATCCTGAAATGACAAACAATAATAATAATTACTTGCAATGCTCGATACTGTTTGAAATGTATTTTCATCTGTTAATTGTAGTCAGCTTGTATTACAATAAGTTATTCGGCTCGATATTACTAATTAGAATTTCATTATCGTAAACATTCGCCACTCTCGATTGAACAAACTGAATTAACTATTTTAAAATAAATATATACGCATAAACAGGAACTATATGATGGAAGTAAGAATAAACTAATCCTTCCTACTTTTAAGTATAGTTTGAATGCGTGAATCACGTCTAAAGTCGAAATAGGACGGAAGATTTTTCTCGTATTTTTTATATATATATATTTTTTTGAATTAAAATTTTACACCCCACTTAATAGTTTTCTAAAGTTTTATTATTTATTATGAATAATTTACGCAAATATTCATTAAATTATGCATAAATTGTGTTGAAATGTATTTGTATTATTAAATGAATGGATGCGTTTTTTATTAACTACATAAAAGTAATTAATTTCTCGCATAAAACAACATAAACACTAATATTTAATACTTTGAGGTTTAACGAAAAATAATTATGCAAACGAATGCGTCATATAAGAAAATACATTAACTACAATAAACATTTTAATCTTACTTTTTCCAGTAAATCGTCGATTACGTCCATTGCATTTATCGACAGATGCAACAAATACTGCACCCGGACGTTTCGAGCGACTGAAAAGACGTTGTTACATTAATCACACGTTTTTTCTTTTTGCCGTTAACAAACTAAAAATAATCATCGCTTACTTTTTATTATCTCCATAAAGGACATATTGTCAATATTCGGAACTTTTTTTAAATACATTTCCATCGGCGTTTTTCCTATTAACATTTGATATAAGAGAATTCCGAATGCCTACCAATCGCAGTAAGCATCTAAGATGAATGCATATTACTGTATTAATAATTACAAGACTTAAACAAAGTGACGTGATTAAATTGGAATAGAACAACTTACCATACGGTTTTCCTCGAAGATTTCCGGACAAACATAGAACAAAGTCCCACAAGATTTATTCGGATTCCGTTCAAACTGAGAGTAAGATAATCGGTTAATGAGAAATCAACACTTGTACGAAAATTAAAATAATATTTTACACACTACTTATTGTGCAGAGACCGAAATCGATCAGTTTCGCTCCTTTCGACTTATGTAGCATGACGTTATTCGACCCGATATCTCTGTGAATGATTCCTGTCGAAGACACAAACAAATTCATTACTCAATTTACATTTGTTAAAGAGACGAATTAATAAATAGATTTTAAAAATTACCTCGATCATGAATATACATTATGGCCGAAGCCACTTGAGCACCGATTATTTTGACTCGGGCTTCTTCGAAGGGTCCATCATTTTCTAAACTATGAGTTATATCCTGTCCATCCACAAAGTCGGAGACGAAACAGAAACTGAAGAAGACAATTATTACTGCATAAAACCATAAAGAGTCAAAATTTACCTGGTATTTGTTTTGAAGAAACATATTAAAGAGACGATGTGGGTATGGCTCGATACGGTTGTCCATGCTTTTCGTTCTTTATTCAATTCGCGCTTCTATAAGTAAAGTAATTTTTTAAGTATATACTAGATAGACTACAAATTAAGAATATTCTGTAGACATTTGTAATTAATGTTTATACAACATCGATTAATTTTCGCTTAGAGCATCATCAATAAATGATGTGTGAATGTGATGATTTTTAATATCGAGATTAAATGTTTTTTGTACTAATGACAGAATATGCTTATTAAATTATTTTATATTATATGGAGTTGGTTGTCAAATAATTTTCTACTATTATAAGATTAATAATATGAAAAACAAAGCTGAAAGCACACCTGTGCAAGAGAAAAGCGCTTTCTCTCGACGACTTTCAAAGCCACGTTTTGGTCAGAGTTTCCGCAGCGAGCCAAATAAACTGTTCCAAAAGTCCCCTTTCCAATTTCTTGAAATTCATAGTCATTAATAATGTCTTTATTAATTTTTGAAGAATCAACTCCGAATTGAGAATCTTCCGATTGACAATTCTAAAATCACAGAGTCATTTAATGGTAAACTCCGCTAAGTGAAGCATTAAGTGTATACGAAGAACGAGAACTTACCTGCGAATCGGAAATCTCTGCTGTATTACAGTGACAACAACAGAATTTATAGAATACGTTTCTACAGAATTCTATAAATTTTCCTGTTTTCTTTTGCTTCTTGTCATGGAACTGTGAATCCTCTTTTTTTTTTACAAGGAGACACTTTGTTCCATGCAAATTTTCGTCAATCTAAGAAAAGTGAATAATACAAATCAACTACGCTTGAAACGTTATCGGAAAAAATGTTTTTAAAAATCGCTAATAACGGAATATTAGTTACAAATAACTTGGATTTTTCTAGAGAAATAGTAATATCTTACTGTTATAGGATATTCTGTATCTCGCTGACCATCCGGTTCAGCGTTATCCTCTCTCCTATAAAAATTATTCGATTATTTTCGAATAAACATGAAATAAGTCTTAATTACAAATATAATTAATGAGGAAAATTACATTTTCCGCTTCTTCTTACTACTCAACATTCGCAAAAACATTTTTCTTACGCTTCGCATCATTTTTCTTAGCAATTCCAACAATAGAATATTGTTAAAAGCAGCTTATTGTTGTAATTTATTATTATGAAATTACATTTGATATTAAATGACGTAATTAAATATCTAAAATTCTATTGGAGAATTCTTTACAAAATTTTATCGTGGATTTAATTGTTCGTTTCTTTTTCATTGGCATTAAATTTCAAAGACGAAGTTATGTAGATAAAAGTCGAGATCAGATATGAAAAGACTACAAGTTGATTGCATCGGAAAGTTCATATATAGTTAATCGAGGCCTCCTTCTTCGATTAACTATATACAAACTTCCGACACAGGAAAAAAACAAGTGGTCTCACCGACATTCGAACTCGGATCGCTGAAATCAAAGTCCAGAGTGCTTACCGTTACACCATGAGACCTGACCGTCAGCCACTTCTCGAAAGCCCATTTATAAACCAATCAGCGTGCCAACGGACATTACTTGGTTCGTTTGTAACATGCAACGGAAATTTGAAGTGTCGCAAAACAGTCATCGTCCTCCGTCGTATATCGCGCAGGGCGGAACATCCTCGCCTTTCTTCGCGTTCACTAATTTGACGGGCGTCGTTTAACGATTCGGCTGAAATTCGTCAATTATTTTTGATCGCATGCTGTCTTTCGTTGTGGAAATCGCGACGTCCGCAAACTGACAGTTGCATTGCAGGATTCGTGCAATGCAACTGTCAGTTGGTGTCAATATCGTGCCTCTGTCGTGCGAGCGGCGTGACCGTTTCCGATAAAAACACGCTTGAAACGAATTAATAATTCGATTATTTACACACTGATCATGGACAGCCATCGACAATTTACGGTCTATTTGCTTTCCACACGACGAAACGAAACACGTTTCTTAAATTGTTTTTGAACGACCGCAACCGTCATTCTGTTCGCGACAGATTTGTGGCAATAGCTTCGCTTCTTAACGAGAAAGTACAGTCGACCCCCCTATAATTACGGTCCCTATAATTATGATTCCTATAAAAGTACGAAAAAATATACGTATTTTGAAAATGTTGAGTCGGATTAGTGTAGAATCGATTAATTTTATGGAAGAAAACCTTTCAATCAGCCGTAGTCCGTAACCTTGACACGTGTCGGGCTGTGATTGGAACGACTTGTAAGAAATCGGATTCCTAATAAATTGGAACGTATCTATATCTTATAGGGGGGTCGACTGTATAGACGGAGAGATATTCATTGTCGGCAACAACAGATGCGGCGATATATTTACGCGATAGTCGATAAGGCACTCTGCAATTCATTAAAGTGATACGCGACACGCTCGTCTGTGTGAGGTTCGATGGTGTAATGATTAGCACTCTGAATCCCGTGGTCCGTGTTGTAATCTCGGTGGGGTTTCTTTTTTTTTTGTTCTTCGCGTCTGTCATCGTTCATGCAATTGAAGGCGACAGAGACAGTAAATTTAGAAACTTCTTTTGCATTGAATTTAAAACAGAAACTCTGCTTCACACACGTGCGGCGAAGCAGATTTTCTTCTGTTCGAATTTTTGCAACGTTTCGATATGTTCATTCTACTTTCGCGATGGTTTCAAAACGGAATTCAACATGTTGCAAACTTCTGATCCAATCAGCATTACTGTTTCGAATCGAAAGAGTTACAAAATGTCTTCCAGACGCTTACGTTACACTAAACTAGACATTTTCAATCAACCGATCATAAGAAAAGATCGCGTCGAGACTGAGATTCGAACTCACGCCCACTGCCTTAGACCAGAATGCACGCTCGCGCATTTACAGCAAGAGTCTACCTTAGACTCTTGCGCCTTAAGTCTGGCGCCTTAAGTCTAAGGCGCCTTAAGTCTGGCGCCTTAGACTGCTCGGCCATCCTGACGTTGTTCAGCGATTTCGATTGATATCTAAACAATGGATAATGTTCATTTCTCGTTATGTTCAAGCAGTTTTATGACAGGCCGACGTTTAACTAACTGAACGATGATTCAATTGCAATTGTTTAGTTTACGGAATGTCGAAAGAAGTTATAACGTGTTTTGTCTCTTACAAGAAATGAAATTTTCTTCGACTGAGTGATGACGTCCACGTTAAATTACGAGTCGTTTATCTATTTTTACACCAGAGTATTGGAATTAGGGGCGGGAGGTCCCGATTAAATATACGTGAACTTCTAATGCAAGACATAAGTCACTTTATTTAAATTAAAAACTCTTTTTCCCGAAAGGAATTAAATAGAGAACAGGTTCGGATCTATTGCTGACAGGAAACGTATAATGTACAGGGGCGAGACAGTACATTACTACTTTGAGAGTGAAAGCATATATTTTAAATTAAATAAATTTAAGATATGGTGAAAAATTGCTTGGTGTATGTGTAAATTTACATTTTTATTTTTAGTTGTTAAATATTATAAAAATTTGAGAACTTAGAAACAATTTTAAAAAGTTGTTAAAAAATTGAATTGTGTTATTTTTTGTTTTTTCTTTGTTGATTGTTTGTGTTTTATATATGTATTTTTACACTTGGAAAAGGGAAATAGTACAGTACATCAAAAACATTTTCAAAAAATGTCTTTATAATTTCATTTATTGACAACTTTTCTGCTACTAAGTTGATATTAAGATAGACAATTATTGTTAACAAAGTATTCGCGGAGACACACTTCAGTTTAATAATCTCTGTTTTATAGCATTTTATTTCGTGCTTTTGTATCGATAGAAATTCGCAAGTTTTTAAAATGACTTTTTATATTTTTCTTTCATTATGAATCATGTACATTTTCTTCTGCAATTCCGAGAAAGATTATTTCAACTTTAATTATAAATTAGTCCAGAAAAAAAATGTACAGATTTAAATAAGATGTACTGTATTTAAACTGATACACGTAATGAATCGATATAAATTTACGTTTTATTAAGTAAAAGTTTATATACACGTTTAATTGTTCAACATAATTATAACTGTAGCTTAGACATATGCTAACTGGGATAGTTCCCTTTTGTTTTTATTCGGATGTCCAGTGTTGACACGCACGTTGCTGGCGAAAATCCACTATTTTCCGGTCAGAAATGCATCGTCAATTGAGAGATTTCAAACTACCGAAGACGGTGCAAAGTTGTCACCGTCGACTTTAATTAACTTTAATTAGCGGAAGAACACGTCCCTCGCAAGCGATGACAAAGGACATGTATCATTCCAAAAATTGCCAGCAGGAAAGGGAAGCCGCCAAATCGCCACTAAAAGTCACATCCGGTCATTAGGGCAAAGCCAGGTAAAAGTCCACATCCGGGTAAAAATGTCACAATCGGTGGAAAAGTCACATTTAATAAGAAGACCTCGGAGATTTATTTCTTCCAGAAGAAGAAGATCTTCTTCCACCAAGGCTTCTTTTTCCTCTTTTTCAGGATCGATTTACACTCCCCTTCCACTCCTTCATCGCGTGCCTCTCTCTGCACCGACCACTCCGGAACTTCTGGATATCTCTGTTCCAGATAGTCGATGACAGACGAGGTGCTCTCATCGGGAATGGTGACAATCACCCGTTTCTTGTCGGGTTCCTTCGCACCCTCCAGCACTTCTTTCGGAAGCACGCGAATCACTCGAATGGAAGAGGAAGACAATCCTGATGTCGAGGAGGTTTCCTCCGCACTCTCTCCTCCAGAGTTATTCCAATTCCTTAGCTTTTTAACATTATCCATCCTGCAAACAATAAAAACCGAGTAATAAATATTGTAGAACGAACGTTAAATTAAGAGAATATTCAAAAATCATAATATAAATACGACAGAAAATGATCGTTTTAAGTATAAGAAAAATTGTAATCAGAAATGAATATAAAGTTGTAATGAAACAATAAACTTTGTCGAAAACATTAAAATTATTCATTCAATTATTATGTATCAAATATATTATAATAATATCAATTCTATGCTTTATAAAAGTTCTGTTGATTGTCATTAAAAGCAATGAAAATATTCTAGAAGAAATTGATGACGAATAAACTCATTTATTCTAATTCATTAAAGGTCAGATTAATTATAATAATGTCATATGGGATGTAATGTGTACGCATATGTAATATACGCACACAAAATTATAACGGGAAACGACAGAATTTATTATTCGATTCGATTGACGAAAATTAACAATGAAAAGATTGAATGCCCTTTTCCAAAATAAGTCAAAGGCTCGATTCTTCTCTTTGAAGAAACCACACAACGGTTGTTATCGAAATATTCGTGATTTAGTACCTAACAATGTTAAAAAATACCTAAATCTAGAACGATCAAGAACTAAACTTACCAAAAATAATCGCAAAACCTATAGCAAAACTGAGAGAACGCTCGAAACAATCGCATTCCAACAAAGCAACAGACAATTGTCGAAATTCTATTGTTGCGTGGCGACTCAGTTTAATGCTAAAAATCTCGATTTTTTGACAGAATTTCGATTTCGGGGGTTTCTGAGTCTGTCTTTCAGTAGAAACGGACCATTTTGCTTTCTGTCAGTAGTATTTCACTCACGCCCACAGAGACGATATGTAATCCATTTTGTTAGAGTTAGGATGTTCGAAGACGTTCATAAACTATGTCGATTTGAATAGAATTCGACTTAAATTGAGCAATGGTAGAATGTTCTGG